CGTTCCAAACAGGAGAATCACCTGGCCTGAGCCGGGAAACCAGTCAAAAGGACGACGACACAGAAATCCGTCTCAGTGACCCAGGAGCAACCCCAGGTGCAGGAGGACAGGAAGGAGTCAGCCGAGCCGGGAGAAGTCAGTGTGGAGCGCGGGCTCACCCTCCTCACGCTGCTTCGAGAAACCCACAGTCAAAGTCTGCGGGCCCCGGCTTCTAAGCACTCCCTCATGGCTCCTGCAGGCACCAGCCAAGGCGACGGGCTCCCGGGACAAGCAGCCCGCTGGCTCCTGGGCAAGAGCTTTCAGTCTGAAAAGGCAGCGACACGCCACGCCACGCCAGACCCGTCACAGGACACACAGTCTGGAGACGAGGCCAGGAACGGCTGCCGGGAAAACGGGAAGATCACCTTTCCCAGGACGAGGTCCAACAGAGCATGATCACCCCACTTACCTGGGCCGCCGCAGGTGGCCAGGCGCTGTCGGGCCACATCGGAGCCGCGCCAGGTCCCGCGTGGGCTGAAAACCACAGAAAAGGATGGAGCATTAGGCTTTCCTGTGAAGACACTGCTGAAGCGAAACAAAACCTTTGCGCCTGCCTGCCTGCCTGCCTGCCTGCCTGCCTGCCTGCCTGCCTGCCTTCCCCGCATCACACTCGTTTCTTGGAGGAACTGGATACTGTCCCCAGGAACTCCTGCATGCTAAGCCTGCATTCTGTCTACTGCTGAGCTACATATACCCTCCCCCCACCCCCCAGAGCAGACTAGTTTCTAGGCACAGAGGAACAAGGAACGCCATCCACGTTCACTAACTTACCCGGTGTATAATAAGCTCCGTGTGCTCCAGCAGAAGAGGTCGGCGTGGTATGATCTGTTGGCTCCCATGGAGCCGTTTCTACAGTCCCAGTAGCGTCTTCCGGTTTCTTAAGATCGGGCTCAGTCGCCCCTTCCTAGGAACACAAAACAAGATAAAACAAGAAACGAACTTCAGAAACCATCATGTTCATACGCTTGGTCGGTCGGTCGGTCGGTCAGGTAGACAACAGTTATTTACCGTACCTATCAGAACACAAGCCCTATCCTGGGAGAAGCTGGCGGTACAAATAAAAGGCAGATTCTCCTCTCTGTTCTGCCAGAGGCACAGGATCCATGAAAACAAGTCAGCACAGAAAAGTTTCAACAGCTCTACAACTGAGGTGAACGGGTACAGTAACGCCACAAAGGACAGGAGAGTCCGCTGCACGTGGATAGCTCAGGGAATGCTGGGAAGACCGCACTGTTTCGTAAAAGAGAGATCCAGTGCAGAGGGGGGATGTGGAGGGGCTCTGGGGAAGGGCAGCCTGAGTAAAAGGAGCAGGTGGGAAACAGCGTAAGGCATTAAGGAAACTAGAACACTGTTACTGGCGGTGGAATGGGAAGACAAAACATGCTGCCTTCAAAATGAACCACCACTGAATTAATTTCAAGTGAGGACGGGTAAAAACAAGACCCAACTCCAAAGATACACCTAACTTTCCCCAGGGAGTGAATTTCTTTTCAATACCCTCTAATAAACTGTAAGGGAAAGACCCTGAAAAAAAGAATTCACATACAGAGACACTGGTTTCACTAGGTGAGTCTGGAAAATTAACACAAGTGCACTATCCAGTCCTACGGCATTAAGCACAGAATCACATCCTAAACTGTAAGTTAAAAATGTAAGTCAAAAATTCTCATCAGCAGATGCAAACGTGAAAATGCACACTCACACCAACCCCCGGCTTATGTTTCAGAATCCCCTGATACTTACAGTCACACAAGGACATTAACAACAAGAGACAGTACCTCCTCAGAGGAAGACTCTCCTCCTCCTTCTTCTGCAAAGTGGTGCACTGACATACCACCTGTAAAATGTAGTTACAGGTACATTAATGAGAATATTCACGAATGCAAATTACAACCACCACGTGCGCCTATCTCCGTCCGTGGATATGTCAAAACAAAAGTGGCAGAAAAGAATTTCAAAGAGTTAAGAGCATTTTTCTGGGGGGGGAAAAAAAAAAAAAAAAAACAACCCCCAAAAAACCCAAAAGCTTAAGTCACGGTTGGGATAGATTTCAAACCAAGCAGTAAGAGGAAAACACGTAAAAAGAATGGATATCCAAGTCGGGTTTGCGCACTATGTACTTCCAACATTTGAAGTTCGTTCCTGTTTTTGTTTTTTCTTTTCTTCCTTTTTTAAGTGGAGGTACCGGGAATGAGCACACGGAATTCGGCATGCTAAGCAAGCATTCTGTTTACCACTAACCTATATCCTTCCCCGAGTAAACTAGCTTCTCGGCATAGATAAAATAAAATACAAAAAAACTCTTTCACCGTTCACTACCTTACAAAACATGTTACTTTGCTGAAGCGCGGAAGACCTTTGAGGCTTTCTTCCCCGTATCACACTAAGTCTCACATCAGACCGAGTGGGAGACAGGTCTCAGGGACCCTTGACTGAAGAGACCACAGGCCACGGGTTCGGGTGTTTCTTCCATAACCGATCATCGGCTGTGGAAGGTCAGGGCTCCACTCGCTGCCGACAGTGACAGGGGCGGGCTTCTCCTCCAGGGAGCCCGGAACGTGGTCTCTGTTGAAGGCCCGTGTGCAGAACCGACACGTCTGCCCTCCGTCAGAGGACCCTCTTTCCCTCTACAAGAGACACCTCCCTCCCCAGGGCAGGACGGGGAAGACGCGGCCCATCAAGTGCGTCTGCTAAGGGACCAGAGGGACGCGGCCGTGAGCCCAGTCAGGGCCGCCCGTGCACGGGGAAGCCCCGGAGAGCGACCTGCCCTTCTTCTGCAGTGACTCAAGGAAGAAACAGAGGACTATGCTTTCCTCTTACCGAGCGGAGCAGCTGGCGGTGGGGGGCGAGGCGGCACGGGGCACCAAGGGGGAACAGGTGCAGGTGCCCAGCTGGGCGACGACGGGCCGCACGCGGGGCAGGCCACGCAGACTGGTCCTGGGAAAGGTTGGGGCCCTCCGGCCCACGGGGTGGCCTGCAGGACAGAAGGGAGAGCTGGGTTGGATGACAGACAAAAGCGCCAACGCCGACAGGAGCCGAAACCCAACGCAGCAGCAGCTGTCGGCACCGGGCACCCTCCCCTCCACCGGGTGCCCAGAGAGCAGCACGGCGCCACACGCTCCACCCAGCCCTCTGGGGCCTGCCTGCAGCCTGGGCCGCACAGGAGGACACGGGGATACGACACTGACGCCGCACGTCGCCGCCGCTGTCTCCAAGTGGAGGAAGCCAAGGGTCCTCCTGCCCGAGAGGCTGCACACGCAGCTGCCAGCACACGGACAAAGTAGCGCCTTCCCCAACAGCCAGCCGCTCTGGGCGGGACGGCCCTCCCCGCCACCTTCCCCAGCTCCACGGAAGCTTGCCCGGCGCGGACCAGGAACACGGAGACGGGACGGACGTGAAGAGCCCATTCTCCACACGAGCAAGCAGAGCCGCACCTGGGTCACCGCTCTGCCTGCAGGGCTCTGCCTGCAGGACCCTGCCAGGCCCTCTCTGCCCCCTCCTCACAAAGGGCCCTCCTCCGCCCCCCGCAGGGGCTGCCCCTGGGCGCAAAGAGCCCTGGGGAGCTGGGCATCCCGGAGTCCTGCGGCGGAGCTGGCCAAGGGCTCCTGAGGGGACAAGGCTGTCCTCAGAAGGGAGCCAGGCTCCGCTACCATCATCCCTATCCTCAGGGACGTCTGGATTTTACGGTCCCTACGGAACGCACCCTACACCTGCGTGCTATGGGAGAGTGACGTGGGGAGTCTCAACCCCACACCTGACACCCAAGGGACTGTACTAGCTCGTGCGCAAAACCCCACGGTGTGCCATGAGACCAACGAGCAGCTCTGACAGCTTCCAGGGCAGGCCCGACCCGGCGCAGGGTGGGGAACACAACGTACGCACGCCGGTGCGCATGGGAATTCCCCCGCAGGGAAGGAGCCATTTTTCACGGCGGGCTCTTCCCCTTCCAGCCTCTATTCCCTACTACAAACGCACCATCTCCGAGAGCCAGGCTTTTCTGCCCAGAGTACAACTGGAGGCAGCGGCCAAGACACACCTGCCTCCCGAGAAAAGACAGTGACGGGCTGTGACATTTACCACACCCAGGAAGACTCAGAGTTGCACAAAGCACACGGTACAGAGCTGGAGGCGGGCGGGGTGGGGGGGGCTTTGCCCCTTTTTCAGTTACCAGGATCTGAATGGA